GTCAAGAATGCCTTTCTTAATGGTGATTTGTAGGAGGAGGTGTACATGGTTCCTCCTCCGGGCTTTCGCTCTCCTGCTTATTCTGGTATGGTATGTCGTCTATGTCGTTCTCTGTATGGCCTCAGTAGTCTCCTCGAGCTTGGTCTGATCACTTTGGCATTGCCATGCTCAAGTTTGATTTCCATCAAAGTGTAGTTGATCATACCTTGTTTTTACATCATTCAGGCAGTAAGATAGTTGCTCTCATTGTGTATGTCAATGATATTGTTCTTACCGGAGATGATACTACCGGAATTGCTGAGGTTAAGAGCAATCTTGGCTGTCAGTTTGAGACTAAGGATCTTAGTCCCTTACGGTACTTCTTGGGCATTAAGGTGGCTCGTTCCAAGGCTGGCATTTTCATCTATCAATGCAAGTATGTTCTTGACTTACTTTCTGCTTCTGGTCAGCTTGGCGCTCATCCTGCTGATACTCTGATTGAGCAGAATCATCGGTTGGTTGATTCTGAAGGGGAATTGTTGTCAGATGTTGGTCAGTATCAACGACTTGTGGGGAAGCTCATCGATTTATCCATTACTCAACCTGACATTGCTTATGCTGTGAGTGTCATGAGTCAATTCATGCACTCTCCTCGTACCCCTCACCTTCATGCAGCTATTCGGATCCTTCGCTACTTAAAAGGGTGTTCGGGCCGTGGTATTTTGTTTGCTAATCATGGTCACTTACATGTTGAGGTTTGGACAAATGTTGATTATGCAGGATCAATTTCAGATAGGAGGTCAACTTCGGGTTATTGTATCACTATTGGTGGTAACTTGGTTACTTGGCGCAGTAAGAAGCAGGATGTTGTCTCTCGATCTAGTACAAAGGCAGAGTATAGGGCTATGGCTCTTGGGGTATATGAGTTACTATGATTGAAAACCTTGATGACAGACTAGTGCCTTCCAGTGTCGCTTCCATTCTCACTCTACTGTGACAACAAGTCTGTCATTAGCATAGCAGCAAATTCTGTTCAGCATGACAAGACTAAGCATATAGAGGTGGACCGTCACTTCATCCAATAGAAGATCATCTCTGGTCAAATTTGCACTCCATTTGTCACAAGCTCTCAACAGCTTACAAACATTTTTTACAAAGGGCATCAGCAAGATTGTGTTTGAGAATGTATTGTCCAAGTTGGGCGTTTTACATATCCATGCACCAACTTGAGGGGGAGTGTTAGCATATATGTTAGCCACGATTTATGGAATGACTTACCATTATAGCAGAGATTTGATTGTGCATATCTTAGCATATATGATAGCCACGATTTATGGAATGACTTGCCATATTAGTATAGATTTGATTATGCTATAGAATATGCCATAGAATATGTTATGATTTGATTTAGTTTCCTTTCTTGTAACATAATCATATGCTCTTTTATCTATAATATGAGCATATACTCTTTTTATCTATAAAAACTAGAGCTGTGAACGAGTGATTCATCTTATTCAAGCCTTTACACAATTCTCTCTTTTTTTCTTTTTTTTATTATATTTCTACTACTCCCAACACAATCAAAACCACAATTGATTTTTCATCTTAAATCCAAGAGACAACATCCAATTAGTTTAAGAAATTCACAAGGATACATATAATTTCAAACTTATTTGCCCTTGACCTATAATACTAACTTCCAAAATCCAAACGATGACCTATATTAAATTGAGAAAAAACAGAAGGAAGATAAAAGCTAAGAACATGTTAATTTTCATCAAGGGAAACTGATAAATACATGGATTCAAAGGAGGAACACAACCCTCCGTTACATTGCATAATTTTGATGGCATGGATGGAGGATTTATTGGAGGCGACTAGAAGAAACTATAGCTTCCACCTTGCCATGATGCATCACCATACTATTGCTCCTTAGATGGGATGCTGATAAATACATGGATTCAAAGGAGGAACACAACCCTCCGTTACATTGCATAATTTTGATGGCATGGATGGAGGATTTATTGGAGGCGACTAGAAGAAACTATAGCTTCCACCTTGCCATGATGCATCACCATACTATTGCTCCTTAGATGGGATGCTCACATAACAAAAGATTAAGTGCACAAGATGATGTCGAGAAAGTCAGGATCTAAGAGAGAAGGATTCTGCAAATAAAGGACCTGCCCTCTAAGAGAGTGGAGCATGTGAGGCGAAGGACTTTAGACCCATTGGTCTTGTTGGGGCGGTGTATAAGATCGTTGTGAAAGTCTTAGCCATTCGGTTGAGAAGAGTTCTCGATGGAGTGATCTTAGACTCCCATAATCCTTTTGTTGGTGGGCGTCAACTTCTGGATTCAGTTTTGATTGCTAGTGAATGCATTGACACAAGGGCGAGAAGTGGTATTCCGGGGATTGTATGCAAACTGATATCGAAAAGGCCTATGATCATGTTTGTTGGGATTTTTTGTTGTATTTGATGGAGAGAATGGATTTTGGGCAGAAGTGGAGGGCATAGATTCTTTTCTGTATTTCAACAGCTCGGTTCTCGATTTTAGTGAATGGATCCCCAACTGGTTTCTTTGCCAGTTCTCGTGGCTTGAGGCAGGGGGACCCTTTTTCCCTTTTCTTGTTTATCATTGTCATGGAGGCTTTTAGCCGGCTGATGGGGAGGGCAGAACAGCTTGGGTTCATTCATGGATTTTCAGGGGGCAGAGTTCCGAATCAGTTAGTCATCTCCCACCTGCTCTTTGCGGATGACACTATTGTCTTTTGTGATGCTACCCTCCTTCAGTTGAGGTATTTACGGTGTGTGTTGGCATGCTTTCAAGTTGTTTCTGGGTTAAAGATTAACATTGGGAAAAGTGAGATTGTCCCAGTCGGGTGAGGTGGAGGATGTTCAAGTCTTAGCTGATACTCTGGGGTGTGGTGTCGTCAAGGAGAGTTGCTGTGTGGGATCCGATTGTTGAGAGGTTCAAGAGGAAGCTTGCAAGTTGGAAGAAGCAATATTTGTCCAAAGGGGGGAGGGTTACTCTTATGAAATGCACGCTCTCAAATCTCCCGACCTATTTTATGTTGCTCTTTCCGATGCCTAAGTCAGTTATTCGAAGAATTGACATGATTCAGAGGAAGTTTTTGTGGGGCGGGTTAGGAGATGAGTTCAAGTACCACTTGGTTAATTGGGAAAGAGTGTGTTCCCCTATTAATAAGCGGGGTTTGGGTATTCGAAGGTTGGATGTGTTTGATAAGGCGTTGTTGGGCAAGTGGTTGTGGAGGTTTGGAAGAGAGAGGACCAAGCTTTGGAGGCACGTTATCGCTTGTCATTATGGGGATGGAGATGGAGGGTGGCACTCAAACGAGTGCTAGAATCCCAACAGGAATGGGCTCCCAGAAGCTTATTGGTAGAGGGTGGGATGAATTCTCTAAACGTATTCGGTTCAAGGTAAGAAGCTGAAGGTTTGTCAGGTTTTGGGAAGACAGATGGTGTGGGGATTTGGCTTTAGCATTCAAATTCCCGCGTCTTTCCCGGATTGTTGTGTTTAAAAATGCTATGGTTGCTGACTATTATCGTCTCGATAATGGGAGGGTGACTTGGGATATGCAGTTCCATCAACAGTTCCATGATTGGGAACTTTTGGAAGTGTCGGACTTCCTATCCTTCATCTATAGCCAGGTGGTGGTCGGGGTGGGCATGTTTGAGATGCTGTAGGTGGGTACCTCAAGAGGGCTTTTCGAGGTTAAGTCATTCTACAATTGTATGTTGGAGCGCCTGGGCCCTATTTTTCCTTGGAAGGCCATTTGGAGGTTGAGAGCTCCACTGAAGGTTGCTTTCTTCTCTTGGACCGCTGCTTGGGGAAGCATCCTAACTATTGATAATCTTAGAAAAAGAAGTCATGTTGTGGTCAACAGGTATTGTTTGTGCAAGACAACGGGACAATCCTAGCCACCGAGCAATGAATAAGAAGATGTTGTTTGTGCAAACATCTTCTTATTCATTGCTCGGTGGCTAGGGATGTTTGGTCTATGTTTCTTGGGTGTTTTTGGTCTTCCATGGGTGTTCTCAGAATCCACAGTAGACTTGTTAGAGACTCGGAAAGGGTGTACAATGGAGAGCTGAGTTAGAGATGCTTGGAGGGCCACTCCCCTTTGTATTTGGTGGGGCCTATGGCGTGAGAAATGGGAGATTTTTTTAGGGAGAGGAGTCTCCCATTTGGGCTATTAAATACAGTATTCTTACTTCGTTATTCTTTTAGGTAAATGTGCGGGACTGTAATTCAATGGATTCTCTTTTGGATTTTGTGGATAGCTTAAAGCTATAGTGTCGTCTTGGACGGTTGTTGTCTTCTTTGGGAGCACTCCCCTTTTGAGCGCCTTTTATAAAATCTTACTTATCAAAAAAAAAAAGGACCTGCCCTCTCAAGAGTGCCTTCTTTTCTATTATATGTTAGAGCTGTCCTGCTTTTAAAAAAGAATTTTGAATATACAAATCCTCTCAATCCAGAGAGTTTTCAAATGATTGAAAAACATAGTGCAGTTTCCTGTTAGATTGCTGGATGAGCTTGAAAAACGTAGTGCAATTTCCTGTTAGATTGCTGGATAAGCCACCTTATCATATTCACTAGCAAGTGAATTTTTTCCTGTTAACACCACAGGGCTTTTGGAACCTGCTGGTGAGTGGTGACCTACACAGCTTCTTTCTGAACCCATGCAAGCCATACGAGCCACAGAAAGGGCATGAGATTTGATCTCATCCTGGACAGTGTGATATAGTCCTCGGATTCTTCCCTTTCAAACAATTGGTTCCGATGACAGGGCCTACCTGACCCAAGACTCAGCAACCAATTTCATGTCTTTTGAATACTTCGGCATCTAGTTTTTTTGGGTACCAATGCTAGATATGAAGCACTTTACAACTGTGATTCATATATATATATATAACCTTGATTGAGGATTATGGTGCATAATTGATCTATAATTTCTCAGATGTCAATTATATTCTATTTAAAATGGTAGAAATAATACCTTAAAGGAATTTGAAGAGGAGAGAATCCAGATGATATCGAACCAACGAATTTTACTCTATCACCTGCCAGATAGATAATTGTTGTTACAACTTTTAACTATCTTGGATTCAATACACTAACGGTATGGCCAAAAACAGGAGGGAGGTGTTGGACCAATTGTGAATGAAATTACTCAGCAAAAGAAATTAGATACCTTTTTTGAAAGTGTAGTTCTTCAACAATGCAATAGATGCATCCTGCTTAGACTTGGCCTGAGAGATTGCATTAGATCCATCGGTCATATCAGCCTCAACATGTGAAACTGATTTCCTGAGCTGTAATACAGCAGCCTGTGCAGCACGTTTAGGAAACACGCTTGCTCTTTCAGACCTTGAATTCTCTTTTACAGAATCAAAATCCTTTGGCGCTAATCCCTGATAACATTTTAACGAGCATTTTCAAAATAAAAAGGTAAAAAAGCCTCGTGTGTCAAGTCCTACCCAGTCAAGCATTTAATATTGCTAAGCAGGGTTTACGCATGAGGGCGAACTAGAAAATGACAAACACTAAGAAGAGATGCCACAATTTATTACTGAAGGAGGAATGCAGATAGAGATGAAGCTTACACCAGGCAATAGAAGAGAATCAACTATTAGGAGTCTAGCACCGAAGTATTTGGCAAGTGCCTTAGTCAATGTCTCCTGATACATTTCCGAACCTACAAAGAAGTTTATGAGAATTTTTATGTCTGAGATGGAATCAAATAGGAAAGAAAATAAATATAGAACAAGTTTCTAATAGAACCAAGGAAATTAGGGGTAATACCTGCAGGACCAGATAATAATATTCTTGGGCACAAGGTAGGGAGATCTGAGGCGTGCTTCACAAATTTATTACATTTCATATGTATGTATGTGGAAGCAATCAAAACAGTCTTCGTGGTCTCACTGTCAGAATGCACAAATTCATATCAAACATAGATTTCCAAATAACATGGACCAAATCATGAAGATTCCACATAGTCCACAACCGGAAAAGTATTCAAAAATCAAATATTATGAATTCTAAAGATATAATTTTATATGTAAAAATATGTAAAGAAGCCTAACAAATTGTTGGAAGGACAACAAAATTGAATCCATGACAATATAAATGCAATAGCTAAATGTGTCAGATAAATCACCTAATACTATAGATGAACAAATTATGTAGCAAAAAACTAGAGAATTCATTTCAAAAACAGCAATCAAACAAAAACTGTTCCATTATTAAATTGCTATAATTATTAATGAATAAAAGAGAACATAATAAAATGGAATGGAATAATTTGCACATCAGACGAAAACAAGGATACTGCACAGAGAAAGAAGAATACGAATATAAATATGAACTGAAAAACCCTGGTTAGATTTTTAGCATGGAAAAAAGCACAAGTGCAAGAAAAATCAGTTAAAAGTTCATATAGTATGGTGAGGCTTTATTAAAGGAGTAAGCATGTGAGTAGGAGAGGAGTCATCCAATTCTGTGTACAAATACAGGTGCATATCTAAAAACATACACAAGCACACGTACAGATATATGTCATGTCCTCATTATATGTTTCTCTACGTGACATAGTTGATTATATTTACATTATTAACAAGTTTATCGACTTTATCTTACAGTCATAGAAAATCCATTTACTGTATACAATATACTTTTTTATATAAAAAATATATTTTATCTCCATGCCTTCACTTTGTCTTTGCTCTATACTACTACTATTTCCATGTCAATATCAATGTGTCCATGTCATTCCATATCCGTGCTTCTTTGCTAAACGCACAGCAGAAAATGTGACAAAGCAATTGTGAAGTTAAAAAGATCGTGAAAAGCCTAACACTGAGACTGAGAATCACATGTTGCACCTTAAATAATAAGGAAATTTTTCGAATGAAACTTCAATGTCGTTGGGGTTGAGAATTCCTTCTTTTAATCCATCTACAAAAGCTTCACGCCTTGTCGATGTCAAAATGGCAGGATCAATATCCTTGAGCAGTTCTCTGATCTCACTCTGCTTATCAAGAAGTTTTGAGATGCTACCACTTAAATCAATATCAGATGAAGATGATCCTGCAAGCATATCCCGGAGCGGTCTTAATTCGTGAGTTGCCCTGGGGACCTTTTCAATTTTTGCACCCACAGAAGCATCCAATCCAATGCCATTGGCATTAAGATCTTCATCAGCAGCATCAAAAGGTGGAATAACAGCATTCTCACTTGACAGGACGCTGGCCCCATTTTTATGATCAGAAGTGTCCTTCATGTCAGCATCCAGTATATTATTATCTGATACCTCAAAAGCAGTAGGTAACACATGCATTTCAGAACCTTGTTGAACATCATCATCATGACGAGATGTTGGAGGAAGGGATAACTCTTTTTGAAGATTAGACAAAGATGCTAATATGGATGCCCCTGCAACTGCTGAAGGGTCTCCTGATCTTGCCTCAATGTGTAATCCTTTTACTGGAGCACGATGGGCTTCTAATATGCTTATTGAAGGCAACATGCCTGGAGTAGCTAAGTTATCACTGACAAGTTGCTCGAAAATCTGATAAAATGTCAAGAAAACTTGCTTTTTCTTTAAAAAATAAACGAGTATAGAGTATATATTAGGACTACATAAAACAACAATGAACCCCAAGTAACTAAAAATAAACTAGTTAACTCCACAAAAACTGCACCCTCAAATCCTGGTAAAAAAGGATACATAAGCATGTTTACCAGATGAAGTAAAAACCACCTCATCACCTTCATTGAGAGGTATGGCAGAATTTTTAGGATAAACCTTGCCATTTACTTGGACAGCACCTTTTCCCCCAGTAATTTTAAGAAAGATGACAGAAGAACCTCCACACTGAGCATGGTAAAAGAGAAATGTAAGTATTACCTATCATTTTGAAAATAGAAAGAAAAATAAAATAAAAATAAAAAATAAAAAACAAACAAACAAGGATGTTTCCACACTACTATTTGATAAGCAAAACCACATATGTCCACATTTCTATGCATTTAGTTATTTCATTCTTATGCGTACTGCTATGCATTTCTACTGACCAAGTAATTCATCCGTCTCAGAAGCAAATACCATAGGAAGTCATACCTCAGGCTCCACACGCGTCAAGTTGCACAAAGATTTACTAATGGATGGATCTCTTATTGATAAGTCGCACTGACGGCCTTGACCAACAGTGAATATAGGACTGCTCAAAAGCACATGAGGGTTCTGGAACAATGGAAAACGTAGGAACATTAGAAAGAATTTAAGATTCGAAACATAATCACCAATGAAGATATGCATCGCTTACCGGAAAAATAATTTAATAGAAACAATTTTTCAGTAAAAAGCATAATTTGTTACCTAAAACCGAAGGCAGATACCGAGTTTGGACCAGCCATTGTGGAATGTTAAAAGGAATATAATTAATACAGACCTAGCTACTGGCATTATTTTCACAAAGTGAGTGCTCTCAAGCACAAATCTCATTCTCATGTTACTCAACCCGAGGATTTTACCCAGCAATAGCACTTAAAAGCTTAGGTAACTAGGGAAAAATTAGTTCAAGTCCAAAAGTAACAATGATGAAATTCAAGTTTCTTATTTTCAAGGTTCATCATGTCACTTTCATGCCTAATGAAAACAAGATCACCAAAGGAAAACAATTTATTTCTCACAACCCTGGCTTGCCAAAATTAAAGCCCACAAAAGCTCCTTATCATACCCTGATGTTTTTTCTCACAATTTCAAATATATGAACATTACAACTACATTATTCTCTTTGGGACTCATATCAAGCTAGAACATGAATAATCATCACAACAAAAAAATAAAAATAAATAAATAAATTAGGGTCTCAAGTTATTTCAGTTTCAACATAAAAGATCCACACAACTACAGCTCACATTTTAATGGATATTGCAAGAATGCGGACTCATGAAAAGCTTCTGGACATAAGGGATAGGGGGGCCAGGCTTCTCATATCAAAAGGGTCGTAGATAGAGAACTCAGCCACCTATTTCATTCTACGTTCCGGGGCAGAGCCTACCTGATTCGACCAACTTTTGGATAACAAGACGGCAAAGCTGAATTGCTTTGATCAATGAAAAAGCCCAGTCAGCCACCAGCAAAGGTTAGAACCTCCCTATTTGACATTGGTTCTGGTATTGAAGACAACCCTCGGGGGATGGTTCAATGCCATAAGAAGATGAAAGGACAAAAAGGAAAACTTCCATGCACATGCATGGACAGGTGATGGGGCTCAGACATCAAAGACTCCGTTCTAAGGTTAACAAAACCCTATTATCATCAAACTGTCCAGGTCTCCAGCTAACTTGACGATCGGCTTGTCAGAGGAGGAGGTTGGGATTTAGGACAGTCCATCGAAAAAGGAGGGCCAGCCATGAATGCATATCAAAGTTTGGATGTCTTGCATTATCAAGTTGGCTGTTCTACAACCCTGAGGCCATGCAGGAGAAGCAAACATGTGTAAACTGGAAGGGTTCAATCTTTGGGGGGATAACCTGGTCCACTGAAACGCAGCTATCTCAAGGGTGGCTTTGAGGAGGACCATTGTCTCATCAGAGACGTAAAAGCCAATATTTGTGTCAGCAATCATATGGCATTACCTGTTTCAGATTCCCAAGAAAAGTTATCACTCACAGTGCCGCAATGCAAGTGATGAAGCCAACGGAGCCTCAATTATTTACCATGCAAAATAACAAAGCATCTCAAGCTATGAAATTTTTTTTTTTGATAAGTATCTCAAGCTATGAATTTGAATCAGGGAAACTGCTATGATAAGGTCAGAAACTGCCAGTTTGCTCAGAAGAACAAGTTTAAAACAATGGTTGAAGATTGAAAATCTTCCACATGCAACATGAATGTCTTTTTGCAGAATGAAAGAGCTTGAGTTAGTATGCATGAAATTTTCCTTTATGAAGTTCAATGTTGATGCAATTGGCGGTAGATGTGGCCAATGAGAAATGTGGCGACCCAATGTGGGCGGGTGCGAGGCACTGGCAGGTTACCACACTAGGAGAGTTACAGGTGCACAATCCCACATCGCCTGGGTGTGGATAGGGCAAGTGCAATATATAGATTCAACATCCTTCTATGAAACAACGCGTTTTAAAGCCGTGATGGCAGTGAACCCACCAGAACTCCAGAGTTAAGCGTGTTTAACCAAGAGTAATACTAGGATGGGTGACCCCCTGGGAAGTCTCTGGTCTGGGGGAGCCAAAAAGTGCAATATATAGATTCAACATCCTTCTATGAAACAACGTGTTTTAAAGCCGTGATGGCAGTGAACCCACTAGAACTCCAGAGTTAAGCGTGTTTAATCAAGAGTAGTACTAGGATGGGTGACCCCCTGGGAAGTCTCTGGTCTAGGGGAGCCAAAAGCGGACAATATTGTGTCTGACTAGGGTAAGGGTCGTTACAAATGGTATCAGAGTCTGACCAGCAGCAAGTGTGGCCAACAGGGACGTTGGGCCCCAAAGGGGGGTGATTGTGGCGGCCCAATGTGGGCGGGTGTGCGTGGGCAGGTGTGAGGCACTGGCAAGCTACCACACTGGGCGAGCTACAAGTGCACAATCCCACATCGCCTGGGTGTGGATGGGGCAAGTGCTATATGTAGATTCAACACCCTTCTATGACATAACGCGTTTTAAAGCCGTAATGGCCGTGAACCCACCAGAACTCCAGAGTTAAGCGTGCTTAACCAGGAGTAGTACCAAGATGGGTGACCCCCGAGGAAATCTCTGGTCTGGGGAAGCCAAAAGCGGACAATATTGTGTCTGGCTAGGGTGAGGGTCGTTACAAGAAATTTCAATCAAATTGCTATATACACGAACAACAACAACAACAAGCCTTTTCCCAACTACATGGGTCTACTAAATGAATCCTATATTTCCATTCCGTTCTATCTAAGGCCATACCCATAGTCAAACTCATGCTATCATATCCTTCCTTACTAACTCCGCCCGCGTTAACAATCAAATTGCTACATATACATGGAAAATTCGAATGGCAGAATTGGATTGCGCACTGCACAGAAAATCAGCATTATCATCATCCTTGCCTTTATCCCGTACAAACGGGGTTGGCCACATGGATTCTCTTTCTCCACTCTTTCCTATCATAAGCCATATTTCCTACTATATTTAATTTTGTAAAGTCATTCCTTATCACTTCATTCCAAGTTAGTTTAGGTCACCCTTTGTCCCTTACCTTCCATGCAAATCAATCTTTCTCTCCTCACGGGTGCATCTAGAGGTCGGCGTTGAATATGCCCATACCACCTAAGTCTACTCTCTCTTATTTTCTAGTTAATAGGCGCCACACCTAATTTCTCCCTAATCATTTAATTATTAATCTTATCTTTCCTAGTTTTTCCTAGCATCCTTCTTAACATCCGCATTTCCGCCACATGGATGTGTTGCTTGTATTTCTTTTTTAACGTCCAACATTCCACTCCATATAGAATAGCTGGTCTAATGATTGTTCTATGTACTTTTACTTTTAACTTATTTGGTATTCGTTTATGCATAAAAACCCACTAGCGTTCCTCCACTTTGTCCAACCTATTCCAATTCTACTGCTTACATCATCATCAATCTCACCATCTTTTTGTACAATTGATCCTAAGTAACGAAAATAATTACTTTTGAGTAGTGCTTTGGTCTTGAATTTTTGTTGTTATATTATCATTCCCTATAACACTACTAAATTTACATTCCATATATTCCTTTTTAGTTCTACTAATTTTTAATCCTTTTAACTAACGCTACTCTCCATGCCTTTAATTTTATTGCTAAAGCTTCTTTAGAGCTATCCAATAGCACTTTGTCATCCGCAAATAACATGTACCATGGAAGGTCACCTTGTAAGTCCTTCGTTAAATAAATTTACCAACCCTTGGTGTAATCCTACTCTTATATGAAAATCATTCGTCTCCCCACATATAGTATGAACTCTAGCCCTCGTGCATACCTTGAATAAGTTCTATAAATCTATCCGGAATATGTTTTCTTTGTAGAGTCCACCAAATCATGTTGCTAGATCTATTGGGTGTGCTTCCTGTTTCAAGGAAGGGAGCATTCTCATGCATCAGAGAAAGGCAAGGATTTCTAGAGTCCAAGAGGTTATATAAATGAGAAGAGTGAAGACAAGGTTCCTTCATCTCGCGTCCATATATGTTTTTCAAGGTGAAAGCTCAATTGAGTTCAGAAACCGTAAAGAATCAATTTCTTTACAAGTGAAATCAACTTGAGGACTTGAACAAGCTAGGATCACTGGCTGAAGGGCAAAGGCATTGCAGAACTAAAGGCAGTTGTTTAAAGGTTCAACCAGACCCTCTGGTTTACTAGGTGAAAATCATTACGTGTAAAGAAATTTCTTGCCTATAGAACCGGACAATTAGAGAAAGAGCATGACCAAGGGGAGTTGTGCAGACCTAATCACCTTCGCACTACCAAAGATCTTATTGGTTATTTGTAGCATGGGAGTTGCTGAAGGGGCACCACTCTTGGAGTTAGGTGCCAGCCTAAGCAAGGTAAAGTGTGAGCGTGAGTATCTAATACGTTATCATACGAAAATTTTAAAATATGCAACCAACACAAGTCAAGATCAAATTTAAGGAATATTTTCAACATTATCAGTTCAGTGTTCTGCCAAATCAAAGTATACAAATCCCTTAAAAATGCAATAAAAAGCTATTCAAATTCTTTTAAAAATGGATTTTGGCAACATTAGCTAAGAGGATAAGCTAATCAATGAGTGTATCTATCATTTTAATATGTATATGCATCAACTAAATCAAATAGTGGAAGGCTACAATCATAACAGGTATTATACCATCATATTCAGACTCAAGCAGAAGACACATTAAATGCAAGTAATCAATCGAAAACTCATAATTCCATCAAAAACATTCGATAAGATAAAACAATCTTTGAAGGAAGACATTAAAACATGGAAGAAAGAGGTGTTTGGGAATTTGAAGTGGAGGAAAAATAGTGCTTTATCAGAGATTGCAGATATTGATGGGTTGGAGGGACAGTGCAACCTTGCGGAGTCATTGAGGAATAGGACCTTGCGGAGTCATTGAGGAATAGGAAGCTGGAGTGCCAGGCAGAGTTTGCTGAGATTGCTATCATGGAAGAGATCTCGCGGAGAGAGCCTTGTGGCTCTAGGAGGGCGACAAAAATACGAAATTCTTTCATAGA